GTGAGGACATGAGGTCTGAGCCAGTCTGCTGGCCAGGGTTGGACTCTCAGCTCTGTCATTCACAACACCAGGGCATGGCACTGAACCACTGAGTTTCTCTCCCTAAACCTTTTGCCCTTGAATTCTCGTGGCAAATTCTGTCACTGTATTGAATGCACAGATGCTGTGGAGGAGGGAAACAATCAAAACACCAGTCCAAAACAGGAAGCAGTCCCTGTTAATCTTGGAGAAGGAAGAAGATGACTAGTGGACCTCCACATGACACCTCCCTTTTTCTTAACTGACCTTGAGCAATTTTTTACTTCTGGTGTGTCTGAGGCCTGACTCAGCCTCAGGAATGCCTTCTTATCTAGACAGACTATAATTTTGATTTCCAGCTATGTGTTTATCCCAACACTTTCCCATTGTGAAGCAACAGATAAACTGTGATTTTCTTTCTTTTTTTTTAAATTGGTCATTTTGACAAAGGGTCTTCTTATAGCTCCAGCTGGCCTGGAACTCACTATGTAGACCAGGCTGACCTTGAACTCACATAGATCCGCCTGGAGTGCTGGGATGTGCCACCACACCCAGCCATATGTGATGTTTCTTGTAAAATAATTCTACCTGTAGGAAACTTCTTTTAAGTCTAGAAGTTGGTTACACCAGCTTGAGTAAATATTATGATTTACATCTTCCAATGAATTCCAATGGGTGGCAGAGAGAGGTGGCTTAAATACACATTGGGTGCAAGGCTGAGAGATGCAGTGACTCAGTATAATAAATTTTGGGTGGAGAACTTGTCATTTTTATTACTGCTTCCCTAACATTAACGATATTTATTTTTATGCAGTATTGCCAGCTAGACATATGCCAATTTTATATGTAGCTGGTAGAAGATACTTAGACACAAATTCAGTTTTATTGCTGAAAGAGGATTCTCTGAGGTGTCTCTAAGTGTTCTTATATTCCCTCTTTGATTCAGCACCCCTGACTTTCCCTTTGTGAAAACAGATAACCATTTTCCTCTTTTGCTGGTTTCTGGTTGTCTACACAAAACCTCTGTAGACTCACTTTTCAGTGGTCTTTCTCCTCATTTAGACTGTGATGTCATTGACTTTTTTCTTTAATTGGGAATTAAGAGAAAGAAGAGGGAGGAGAGGAAATAACAGTTTTAGTTGATGACAGTGTCATTTTTTGTTTGTTTAAGTCTTTTTGAGATAGGGTCTCCCTGTAGCCCCAGCTGTCCTGGAACTCACTATGTAGACCAGGCTGGCCTTGAACTCACAGAGATATGCTGGCTTCTGCCTCCCAAGTGCTGAGATTAAAGGTATGCACCACCACGCCCAGTGACAGTGTCATTTTGTATATGCATATTCTATATAGCATTATGAGTTACATGTAAGAAACATGGCTGTAAACATCTTAAAATAAAACTTTTAAAAAAGATTTTATTTTTATTTTATGTGTATGAGTGTTTTGCCTGCATGTGTGCAAGTGCACCACATGCATGCCTGGTGCCTGCGGAAGCCAGAATATCCCTGGAACTTGAGTTAAGGATGGGTATTAGCTGCCATGTGGGTGCTGGGAACTGAAACCAGGTCTTCTGAAAGAGCAGTAAGTGCTCTAAACTATTGAGCCATCTCTCCAGCCCCATCAAGCGTTGTTTTTCCTCCCATGAATTCCACAAGTGTCTTTTCTTCTTTTATAAGTAGAAGCATTCTGGTGGTGCGTACCTTAAATAACTTTGAAGTGTGATTGAGCGCCACATACTTATACTGTATATTCTACTAAGCTTAATTTTTTTTTTTTTTTTGGCCTTCTTGAGACAAGGTCTCCCTGTAGCCCCAGCTGGCCTGGAACTCACTATGTAGACCAGGCTGGCCTCGAACTCACAGAGATCCGCCTGCCTCTGCCTCCCAAGTGCTGGGATTAAAGGCATGCGCCACCACGCCCGGCTCTAAGCTTGATATTTTTATGCACCTGTGTACATGCCATAATCAAGGTAGTGAGCCTGTCCAATACCCTCCTAAACTTCCTCCTGCTCTCCTTTACATTCCTCTCTTACTATAGCTAATTCTGCTTTCTGTCATTATATGTTGATTTGAATTATTATCATCTTTATAAATGGAATTGCTCAGTATGTACTTTTAAAAAATCCAAATTCTCTGACTTAGAATAATTAGAATAGTTGTTGTGGCATGTTTAAATGCACTAATCTAATGATATATATTTGGGTGTCTTGTAGGTCTTGGCTATTGACCATAAGGCTGCTAAGATATCTGTGTATAAATCTTTGACTAGACATAGACTTTCATTTCTTTAGGATAAATCATATTAATAAAAGAGCTAGACTGTGTGGGAGATGTATACATAACTTTTTGGGACAGTGACCAACTTTTTCCAGTGTGGCATACTTCCTTATATCCTCCCAGTGGTGAACAAGGGTCCCTCTTCCCCCACGTCCTTGCCAGCTCTGCGTATGGTCTGTCTTTCTGAATTTAGTCATTCTGAGTTTGTATTGGCACCTCATTGTTCTTTCAATGTCAGCTTCCTTAGCATTTAATAATGTCACATTTTTATTTTCATGAGCTTATTTACCACTTCCCCATGTTCTTGGTGAAGTATCTGCCATGCCTTTTGCCCAATTAAAAAAAATAGATTGCCTTATTATTGCATTTTTAAGTTATTCATACATTTTTGAAATAAATCCTTTTTCAAGTATGTTCTTTACAGATGTTTCAATGTGAAGTTTGTCTTTTCATTATCTTAATAGTGTCTTTCAAAGGGAAAATTTTAATTGTTGGTGAAGTCTTAAATAATCATATTTGCGTGCGTGTGTATGTTGTGAATGTGTGTAGGTCTGAAGTCAAATTTGGGTGTCTTCCTTGATTGCTAACCACTTTATTTTTTGAGACAGTGTCTCTCACTGAACCTGGACCTCACTGATTGGCTAACTTGGCTGTCCAGCACGCCATAGGGATTTTCTTGTCCTGCCTCCCGGAGCTGGCATTGTAGGTGTGTGCCACCACACTCAGCTTTTGACATGGCTGCTGGGAATCCACATTCAGTCTCCCATGCTTGTGTGGCAAGCATTTGACCCACTGAAGCATCTCCTTACCCCCTCAATTTTTATTGTAATCAAAAAAGGTACTTTATATGACTGGGACCATTTTATATTGACAGAGATTTGCTTTGTAGCCCAGAATATAGTTTCTCATGGAAAATAAATGGCCCATGTACCCTGAATGGATGCATCCTGCTTTCTGGTAGATTGTCATTTAGTTGAAGGACATGTCAATTACATGAAGGTGTTTGGGTAGTTTTGTTGAAATCTTTTGTGTCCTACCTGATTTTCTGTCTACTTTTTCTATTGATTAGGAAGACAGAGATATTTAAACTTTGACTGTAGTTGCGGATTCATCAACTCCTGGCAGTACTGTCAGTTTTTTTTAAATACTTTATATTATTTTTATTTTATGTGTATGTGTTTATTGCCTGCATGTATGTAAGTGCACCCATGTTGTGCAATGCCCCCAGAGGAAGAATAAGGTATCAGATCCCCTGGGGCTGGAGTTATGGACAGTTGTTAGCTGCCATGTGAGTGCTGAGATTCAAACTCGGGTCTTCTGCAAGAACAGCCAGTGTTCCTAACTGCTGAGCCAGCTCTCCAGCCCCTACTGTCGTTTTTTATATCATGTATTTGAAGCTTTGTTGTTAGATCTATGAATGAACATTTGCTTTGTTCTCTATGAGTTGACTCTTCTTTCAGCATGGAATGACCTTCTTTACCTCCACTATTTTAAGCTTTTGCACGTTTAAATTTGTGTGTGTGTGTGCATGCATGCATGTATGTGCATGCACACATGGCTTTTTTTTTTTTTTAAGCATTTGAATAGGAATTTTGGGTTACAGGTTTACAGCCTTTCAGAAGTTCTTAAGATTTTTTTTTTCTTTTGCCTTGCCAAGTTTCCCTCCAGAAAAGCTTTGCAAGTTGATACTTGTCTAAGTGTCCTTTAAGTATTTATAAAGTTAAAAAATCTGGTCTGGTAAAACTTAAGATTGACTAAAGTTTAGCATTCTGTTGCTCAGGGGATAAAATTCATTAGTATTTACATCATTCAGTTTGCAAGAAGTAAATATTGTACATAATTTTTAAATTGTCTTCAATTTATCTTATTGTTTTATAGATTACAAAATCTTCAATTTTTTTTCTTTGTCTTTTTGAGAGAGGATCTCCCTGTAGCACCAGCTGGCCTAGAACTCACAAGACATCTGCCTGCCTCTGCCTCCTATGTGTTGGGTTTAAAGGTGTGTGCCACCACACCTGTCCTAAAATCTTCAATTTTTTTTCTTTCTTTTTTATTTTTTGTTTTTGAGACAGGGTTTCACTCTGTAGTCCTTGCTGCCTTGCTGGTCTGGAACTTGTTATGTAGACCAGGCTGGCCTTGAACTCAAAGGGATCTACCTGCTTCTGCCTCTCCAGTGCTGGGATTAAAGGTGTGTGCTACCATACTTGGCTTCATGTTTCACTGTTAAGGCATACATATAAAATATTACTTTAATAGAAATGTCAGGAGGAGACGATTTGGTATGTTTGTTTAATATTTTTTATGTAGTTTTTGGCCATCATGAATATCTTGAAAATGTTTGAATTGAAATACATTAGTGCATGTAATTCTTATTTGGAAAGCCAGATGTTCATAAGGGTACTTTCCAAGATTATATATGAGACACTGTGTGCTTAGATCTGATAAGAATTTGTGGTTAAGTTTTGATAGTGTCTGGTACAAATGGCAGTGAACAAAGCAAATGTGATTCTTGTATCTTTTGATATATAAAGGTATTTGCTAGGGAAGTTTTGCAGATTGACTCAGAAATGACCAAGACCAGTTTAACACAGTTATATGTGTGTGTGTGTGTGTGTGTGTGTGTGTGTGTGTGTGTGTGTGTGTATGTATGTATGTTCAAGTGACTTGTTTGGATTCATTTAGTGATTCTGAGCTGTGATTTTTGTGCAGGAGTCTTCCAGAGCCTCTCATGACTTATGAGCTACATGGAGACTTCATTGTTCCAGCCAGTAAGTATTATATGGAAGTGCATGAACTCAAATTTGTGGTGAATAGTGTGTACACACTAAAAATTTACACATGAAAAATTTAACATTAACTATCTGTGTTACAAAGAGAAATCACTTTAGAGGATGGACTTTATCCTCTGTTTAGAAAGTGAACAGAGGGACTGGAGAGATGGCTCAGCGTTTAAGAGCACTGACTGCTCTTGCAGAGGACCTGGGTTCAATTCCCATCACCCACATGGTGGCTAACAACCGTCTGTAGTTCCAGTTCTGGGGGAATCCGAGGTCTTCTTCTGACCTCCATGGTCATTGCATGACACAGGGTGCACTTACACACATGCAGACAAATAATTCATACACCTAAAATAAAAATAATTAAAAAAAGAAAGTGAACAGAAAGGGGCATGGACATCATTCATGAGGACAGTAAAGATGTTATTCATGAACACTAAACCTGTTGTTCTTTGTAATTGGTTGATACTGGGTCTGTCAAGCCACAACAGTATTCTTGACTGCAGGAGCCAATTTTCTAGGCATCAGGGCACACATACCTCTCATTATACTGTAGATATATTAGTGACGTGAACAGAAGGCTACAGAACAAAGCTGTATTTAACTTGCAGGAGGTTGGAGAGGTTAGCGGGTTGGAGATGTTTTCACTTAAAAGGGCATTGAGATGGGAAGTACAGACAGAAGGAATGTTATAAGATAATACCAGAAGCCAAACAATATTTAATAGTGCATTACATGCAATACAATGTTAGATGAAAAAGGCCAGGCCAGTAGTTGGTTGATTTTAATTTGTGATTAGGTGGTTTTCTGACTCATACCTGCACGAGGCTTTTGTGTGTGTGTGTTATACAGTTCAGGTTTTATCTTCAACACATGCTGCTTAGTTATCCTTCTGAAGGATAACTAAGTTATCCGGTGTTGATAATTAATAATTAAAGAAATTGAGGTTGAGACATGTTAAGTGACTTGCCAGATTTTAGAGAACCATGTTTAAAATGGAAAACCCAGCTTCACAGGCTGGACCCTGCAGTATTGCTTTTCCAGGTGCACTGACAGTAGCTGAAATGGTGTTTTCATTTCCTTTCATACCTGTCCCCCAAGATATAGTCCATACTTTAATCTGCTGAAAAACTTGGAGCAGTCCCTTTGGGTCCTATGTTACCGCTGCCTGAACATGGCTTTAAATGTTACCTTCTTGTGAAGTCTCAGCCCCAGCCAGTGTAAGATTCCTAATACAATGCAGAAAGAAGTGTATTACACTTTACATATGAAACAGATTTTCAGAAAAGGCCAAGGTACAGTTCTATTCAGCTTTGTTTTCACATGGAAGAGTTATTCCAAAAAAATAGAATTTGTATGATCAAGGAAGTGGGAAGTTTTATTGGCAAAAACTCAAGTAAATGCTTAGTTGTTTTGATTTCTTCCTTGTGGCATTTTTGGCAAATGAGAGAAAGAGAAATTGAACTTAGTTGGAGGACAGTTGTTTCATGTTGTTCATCTCAGGGACTGAAAAAAGCCAGAGTGCCAACTTACATCTAGAATCCTGAGTACTGGAGAAAACTGGAGTGATTTAGGAGTAAGATTTTAAATTACCAGGACTTAGTGTCATGAGCATTCTTCCCAACAGCAGAGTGTTCAAACTTTGTCAGTGTCTGTTACCAGATGGGGAAGTTACCCCCTTAAGAGGTAATGAAGCCCATGATGATGAAATGTGTTGATGGTGTATTGGAACTGTGTAGTGCAAAGGAATGAGTCGATGTGACAGGTACCATCACCTGTTGCATCACTATCTTGTGTTTGCCTGACCTTGTGGCCATGCTGCAATAGAGTCTTTATGATGCTTTGAATAACAGGACTGTTCTAAAGGAATAGTCGCTACTGTAATTACTGACAAGGATTTGCACCTAAATGCAGTTAAGTTGGAATGGTGCCTGCAGTAACCATGTTTAATGAGAAGAACTATGTGTGCTAAGTGAGCTTATTCTGGGGTCTGGTGTTTTTAGGGCAGAGCTTGACTTATGTTTTCATCCCTTGTGAATACCCTCCTCTGTACTTGCTGCCTCTTGGGAGAGAGTGTGGAAACAGATCATTTAATATTTTATATATGTATTTCTGAGTATTGAATACAGCCACTGAAATCACATGGTCAAAATTAGTCTCCTCTTTTGAATATTGGAGAATTGGGACTGTGGTTATACTATCATTCTCCATTGAAAACAGCACACCTTACCTTGTTTTGCTGCATGCCTGCTAGCTGAGCTGACTGCTAAAATTAACCATCATCGCCGGCCTTTGTTGCTGCTTCTCACACCAGTATGGAGATTAATTTTTGATTCTCTTCCATTGTCTGGTGGTTTCCATCTGTTCTGTGATGTTGGGATTGTGTCTTCTCCCCTTCCGCTGAAAAGTCTGAAGACTTCTGGTCTCTTTCATTGGTTTATTTCTTACAGTTTTCTGTTAAGAATCCGACTTAGTTTCTCAAGTTTATGGCACAAAAAATGAATTTGCTTCTGTGATGCTACTACATAATGCACATCTTTTGTTTCTTGTAGTTAAAAAGAAAACTCAACTTACTGTTAAACATTGAAAACATAGGAAACTTTTTTTTTTTATTTCAGAGATTTGAAAGAGACAGTGTTAACTGAGTTTGTTAAAGCTACTAAAAAGAACAAAAAGCACTTGGGGGTAGGAATCCACAAGACAAAAATATGTTTACATCATCCAGGAATGTGAAAGATTATGTTCCACTGGTTAAGACTGGTAGTATCCACCTGGAAGCTTTCTTTATGAAGATTTCCTTTGAGAATCATATTGTCCACACTCTATAGGCTCAGATTCCTTAACATGCCTTGGTGAGCCCTGACCTATTCTGCTAGGTCAGACTCACATTGCATTCAGTGTGAGAATGACAACTTCAACCTAGTTGCCTGGTTAGATTTTTAGAAGTAGCTCTTAACTGTCACTCAAACAAGAATATTTGCCTTTCTGTGTTGTATGTTTGTATTTTCTTTCTGTAGTCAGGTTACCTGGGCAGCATACTGCATAACCACAGCCATTTCTGATGAGAAACAGCTATCATAGGATCCAGTGCATGGTGTTTGTATAGCCAGAGCGTTCCTTGTGTTAGACATGCACAAGGGAAGACAACCACATGTTTCTTGGTGAGGAGGATGCAGAACTTTGGGACTCACAGGAATTGAATGTGTAATGGTACCTGCTTCCCTTAGCCAGGTGTGTTCATCTCACTGGAGATGGGAACTTAACAGAACTGCAGTATTCCATGTGTGTTGACTGAGCTGGTATGAGTCCTGGGAAGTGCTTGGAAGATTACTGCTTATGACTTCCTTCATTTAAAGTATATTGACACGTGCCATTTAAATATTAAAATAATTTAACACTGCCTGTATAACACTGCTTGTCTCCGATAAGCTCCAGTATGCTTGGTGGTAACTCCAGCCCTGTTGTTATGACATCATAAGCAAATAGACTTTGGAGTATGATGGATGATCTGTAACTTCATAATTATGTTTTTTCTGTTACAACAAAATCTTGGTTCTCTGGCACATTTCAGGAATTTGATGTATGATTAATTAATTCATTGCCCTGGGTAGGGGAAAAAAAAAGGATTTTTCATTCTTTATCCACTGAAACTACACCAAAGTGCATATAACTTAAGTAACTGAAAATAACCTATATAAAAAACTTTTATTGACTGGCAGGGGAGAAGGACTCAGTTACCTTATGAAAATGCCTGTGAATAGGAAGCTTTGATGTCAAATAAAAACAAAATAGAGAACAAAGTAGCTTTATTTTAAAATAAACCTTGTTGAAAAATATATTTTCTTGAATAGATAAAAAGCAGACATGGGAATGTATATTTGTGATTTCTTGAGTTTGGGATGGCCGATAGAAGAGGGACTTGAGGGAGATTGGCAAGTTCTGCCCTTTTTCCCAGAGTGCTTTCAGCCACTCTTATCACTATCACTAGAGGGTGGGAGACTTACTTCTCTAGCTTGTATTTCTGAGTAAGTCATGAATCCTGAAATGTCAACTTAGGTTTTTATTGGAAAAAGATGATTATGAATGCCAGGGTAGATGCTTGCGTTTTTCATTACAAAGTTTTCAAAGTTCAAATTTTTTGAACACCAAATTGTTACCCTTTGTGATTACCCTTTATTTCCTCGGAGTCTTTCTCTACCAATTTCATTTTCTGCTTTCATTTTGTTTTTTAAAAAGTCAAAGCAGTGACTTGAAATTTGGTTTTTATTAATACTAATCTTCTCCAATATTGTGAAGTCATTCTAATTGACAGCAGCAGACTTAGCATATGAAACCGCTGCTTAAGCTTGGCATTTGCTTCTGATATTTTGATTTGTGGGCTTCACTGGTCCTGTAGTACTAGCCAGTTCCTGGTTGTAAACCCTAGTCAGCTTTTCATATACCAGTCATCAGTCCAGAGCCACGTCCTCACTTGTGGGCTTTCTGACTGTAGGCCATTATTCTCCTTATCACCTCAGAGAACTAGGCACAGCTTCCTTGCCGCAGCTCCCACAGAAGTCAGAATACCAACAGTACCGATGGTAGCCTTTCTTGCCCTGCCTCACTGGACCCTTCCAACAGGATCCATTGTTGGGGCTCTTGTCTCATACCTACTTCGTTTGTGCCCTGATCCACCATAACAATTGGTTGAAGGGTCCTGAATGGCTTGTGTGCCTTTTCTTGGTATAGGGCATAGTGAATATATCTTTTCTTCTGTCAGCGTCCACTTAATTCTCATACCTTACCATGTGTGATCAAAATAAAACATGAATGCAGCTGAAAGTAGCAGAGAAGAGCCTGTTGTTGCTGTTGGACTTGTATTTCCTAGTGGGTTTCTGGGCACTGGACAGCATCAGATTGAGCTATGAGCTCACAAGAAGGGTGGTTCATGAACGGGAGAAGCTGTGTGATGTTAACACCAACCAGGGAAACCCCAGCTTTAGGCAAACATTGTAGTTATGTGGAAATTCCTTGACAGACAGTGGATGCATAGTGGTGGGAAAGATGCTCTTCTTTAAAAAGGGCAATATGTAGTTAAACTCATTCTTTTTTCAGATCCTGAACAGAAGAACTATTGTAAGTGTTGGTTTGGGGGTAATGTGTTTGATTCTGAGTATTCTACGAACTTTATTTTTTCTTTTTAAAAAGAAAGTGGCAGCCCTGAATCTCGTGTTAATGCCATCCATTTTTTGGTGCACAAACTGCCAGAGAAAAACAAGGAGATGTTGGACATTTTGGTGAAACATCTAACAAAGTAAGTGTCTTTTTCCTACTTAAGCTCTCCCCTGTGGGTGCTGTGGGTGTTGTGCAGTGTTGTTGTATCTGGGTTGACTGGAGCTGGGGCTATATCCACAGTACCACGGGCCATACCTGAAGGGCAGGCTGGATGTTTGACTCATTCTGTTTGTTTTGGACAAGAGCAGTGGAATAGGATGCCTCTTGAAGCTGTATAATTATTTGCTTAACACCACTGCCAGCAAGTCAGGGTTTGACCTGAAGTGAAAGAAGAGAAGACTGTATATTGCCCCATACCAGATTTGGGAAATATGATTATAAATCTGTTAGCAGATTTGGCTTGGTTTCACACTTAGCTGATGCTGAGTTTGAACATGTTCTTTAAGTTTGTTAATCAAGTAATGGGTGGTTATTTTTGAAGAGGCCAGTCTTGTTTGCTGTCTTTAAAAAATAAGCAAAATATATTAATTCAGAGGAGAAATTGACCCCCTTTTCTCAAATACAAATAGCATCCAAATCATTATACCTTTCCTTTCAGAAAGGAAGGTGAGAAGCTCTGCTCAGAGCCTTTATTTTCTAAAGATGAAGGTGAGACCTAAAGAGTAGTTGGGCTGCCTCAGGATCTTCCTATTGCTCTAGTACTGGTTTGTTTGCTCAAGAAATATGTTTTGAATGCCTTTATAAAGTGCCAGGGGACACTGAGTAGATCAGGATAAATGAGGTCCCTACCTTGTGACATTTATGGAGAAAAAATAACAAAAAGTTGATCTAAACTTTGATCAAAATTTGATCTAAATTATCGATTTCAGTAGCAAAGAACAAAATAGAGTAAGAAAAAAAGAGAATATGTTCACTGTGAGACCTTATTATGGAAGGTCTCTTTGGGGAAGAAACCATTGATTTGAGATCTGAATTAAGTGGTTGGACTGCTGAGAACACCAGTCCCTGGTGTTCCCTGAGCAGTGGAACTGGACTGGAGGAGTGAGTCACAGTGTTCTGATTGAGCAAAGCTAATTGTTCCAAAGTGCATGGCATCTAGTAGTTTTTGGTAGCCAGGGGTGTGATGATCTTGGAAAAGACGGGAAGTTCTAAGCTGCTTCCTTCTGTGTGCATCTGGTACATGATAGACGTGTGTTTGACATGGGAAGACATGCCTGCTAAAATGACAAGTAGCATGACTTGTTCTTATGAAACAAAAATAATTAATTTGGGAAATTCTGTTTTTATTTCCAAGCTTCCTTTGTTCCCAAACAGCTGCACAGTTCTTTACATCTACATCAATCAACTTGGTTATTGAATATTGAACAAATACATGTGGGGAATGATGGCAGGACTGTTCAGTAAATGGCTTCCAAGACTAAACGTGCTTAGAAATGAGCTAACTAGCATGAGGACTCTCCTCAGTGGGAAAAACTTGACAAAACCTTCCTTTTCCTAGGCAGGGTCCCCACCTGTGTTAGGCAGCTTTCCATCCCCGAGACACATACCTGAGAGAAACCAATATAAAGGAACAAAGGTTTATTTTGGCTCAGTATTTCAGAGGTCAACTGACTCCATTCCTTTGGGCATGTAAGGTGACAGGAGGTTGTAGCTAAGGAGACTGCTTACTCCAGGAAGGAGGGAGGGAGAGATGGAGAGAGAAAGAGAAAGAGTGCCAGCCCTACATATAGACTGCTCTCTGGTCCAGGTGTTCCAGGCACAGCTGAGAACGGTTTGAGTCTTTTTTGCCTTTTGTGTATTTTAATGAAATGCAGAGTTACAGAATATTAAGTGTTCTATAATCATTGCCACCCAACTAAGCAGCTCTCTTTTTTCCTTCTCCATCAACATCAGTGTGTCAAATCACTCCAAGCAGAATCTAATGACTGTGGCAAATTTAGGAGTGGTGTTTGGGCCAACTCTGATGAGGCCACAGGAAGAAACTGTCGCTGCCATCATGGATTTGAAGTTTCAGAATATTGTTGTAGAAATCTTAATTGAAAACCACGAAAAGGTACAATTGTTTATTCTTCTTTTCTTGATAGTGCTTGTTATTTGGATGGTTAACATAGTAAGTACACAGTTCTGTTGTTAGCCTGTGTATTTCTGTCTTGTCTTTGTGATGGATTTATTCCTGAGAAGCTTTCACTCAGGTTTCATCTTCTGATGGAGTTCCGGGAATCTGATCCTTACCTGGCCTTCACATAACTTGTGGCGTTAGAGAAGAAACATTTCATTGAGGCACAAATCATCAGCAGTGTGAATATGACTGTGGACTATTTAATTTTTTAAATACTTTAATCAGTTTCCTTGGTTTTCTCAAATTTCTTGTGCTAGTAGTATGCTCTATACTGTTTGGTCTTTGTAGCTTAGAAAATAAGAAAATAAACAGTGAGCCAGGAAAGGAAAGCAAAGGAAAGGAGGGTGGGGGGAGCAGAAGGAGAGGGACAGAGAGGGAGGGAAATTTCTGTCATGAGAAGTCCATAGACTTTCACCGTCATGAACCAGCAGCATTGCTCCTCTGGAAGGATAAGCCTCCTCTCCTCTGTAAGAGCTCGAAAGAGCTTGAGCCTGGACCGTGGGAGGAGGCTCCCCTCAGACTCTAGAAGATAATTTTGTTCTGATAGCTAAAGTGACACCCGAGCGTGACTGTGGCAGGGGTGTGGTCTGCTCCACGGCAGTGTGTGTTTGGATACGACATATGAAGGAGTCACTGTCCGTTCCAGGAGTCCAGCTGGCCTTTGTAGGAGTCACTAGGCGCAGAGAGTGGGTTTGTGGATGATGTGTGGCAGAGTGGTTTTCAGGTTTTCAGATGTTCAGTGTTGGCTCTGCTTACCTCTTCCATTTATTCAAACAAAGTTTCTTCCTGTTAAGAAAATGAAAGATATGGACTCAGGATTGAAAGGGGCACACTTACTAAGAAGAATTGCTTAAAAATAATAATAACAACATTTTTGTTCATTGGGGCAAGTCTTCTTAGTCTTTTTGGGGTCACAGACCTCTACCAGATAAAAGCACATAGTTCTGCCCTTCTCCAGTCATCCTGAAAATTTTAGCTTTTTGCCTGCATTGCTGAAACTGTGGGCTCTCAGGCCTTTCTGGTTTAAAATGAATTGTCTCTTAAAAGACCCATTTTGTTGCTCATTACCCTGTAGCCTAGGTAAAAGATAATTTTTAGAAATGCCTTAAATTCTCTCAAAAACTCCTAGATTTTTTCCCCTCATTCTGCTAACCATCGTTCATCACCTTGCTAATAACTCCTTTCCGCTGCCTCTAGGATAGGGTATTTGAAAACCCCTGAGACACTTGGCTCTTATTTGTGTGTTAAAAGAGTTTTAAAAATTGAGATTGTGTTATATACTAAGACCATCCCACCTGCTGGGGCATGGAGGTGAATGTGACAGGCCTGGTTGGAAGGCAGGTGACCATCCAGGTGAGAACCGTGTTTGGCACTTCTTGAGACTTGTATCCCATAACTCTTATCCCTGTCTCTGTTTTCTTTGGTATTATCTATCTCTCCCTAATACAGTGCTGAGGGCGACGATGTTTTTATACACTTCAAATAATATTTGTTCTCTATTAGGTACACAGTGATAATGATTGAATGACTTAATGCATCCAGTACATTTTGAAGCAGTTGGAACCAGAAAGAGATAGGCAAACAGAGATCGAGTCCCTTTGAACTGAGGGCTGTGACAGCTCTTCTTGGGTCCTAGTTGCGTTGACTATTTGCTGGAGCAGTTCTAGCTTATGTGAATGTAGATTTATTCTGATAAGTTAAACTTGACTTCTGGTCTGGCAGTTTTCCTTACAGTGTGGTAAAGGCAGCTTGTTTAGATGAGCAACTTGATGTTGTTTTGGTAGACTGTGCTGGTGAATTTATGCTTCTGTTTGTGGTCCTGTCAGGTTGTTAAGCCTCATTCAGGGTGTACTGAACCACCCAGACAGTGCATGTGAAGATGGATACTGCTGATTCTTAGAAAAAAAATCATTAGACTACCAGATTAAAACAATGTGACAGTATTGTAACTATCATTTGATTAAATCTTATTTAGGGAACTCTGGTGCAATGCATTTATGAGAACCAGCTCCAGGTCTTGGTCTCGGGTAAGAAGGGCTCTGAGCCCTGTGTTGGTTTGATTTTCTTCCATTTGGAAGGTGAGCATGTGCTGTTTCTGCAGGGAAGTAGTGCTGCCCTTCCCATGTTAATAGATCATTTGGGGATTTCCGAGTTACTCTGGTGAGCCAGTCTTCCTGTCCTAGCAGAAGAACACAAAGTGGACCAAGCTCTGCTTTCAGAGCTCTTAGAGATGCAGCCTTTTAGAGCTAAGCAGAGGGTTTGAAGGACCTTCGCTGCCTTTCTGTGGCTGGACACGACTGTGAATGCACAACCTACATGAAGGAAAGTACTGAGATTCCCTGTTGAGCAGGAAGGTAGCAGCTGGAAGAGCAGGGTTGTGTGGCTGAGGTGGAGCAAGAAGGGAGGGTTGGCAGCTTAGGCTAACTAGCTACTTACTCCTTACTGTCTCCACCATCACTCCTTTGTCTCTCATTCCCCTTGTGCATCTGTAGCTCTTTGGACTTGCACAACTAGGCTTCTTGTCAAGAGACCAGGCCCTTCTTTGAGGAAGAATATTCCTGCTGGCAGAGATGGTTGTGGAAATTTCATATGGATACCTATGTGCATATTAGCTATGTGTTACCCTGATAACTAACTCACAGATACACCCAAGGGAGTCTACTGACTAGGGAAGTGGTGAGGGAGGGATGGTCTTCTGGTAGATGTTTACGAATAAGCAAGAGAGAGAGTAAGGAAAGGAGAGATTAAAACATCCTGTGAGAAGACTAGAGAGATGGGTCAGCAGTTAAGAGCACTGTCTGTTTTTGCAGAAGCCCTGGGTTTGTATCCCAGCACCCACGTGACAGCTAACAACAGCCTGTAACTCCAGTTCCAGGGGATCCAATGCCCTCTTCTGGCTTCTGGAGGGCACTGCACAACATGGGTGTACTTACACACACGCAGGTATAACACTCATACACATAAAAAATAAATAAATAAAATAACAAAAATGTCTTGTGAGGAGAGAAAATATTATAGGAGTGTATGAAGGACCCAAACACAAAGGGACTGTGGAGAGGAAAGTAGTGTGTTCTGTGGTGTCCTTGGCAGAGTGGGCAGTGGGAAGAAGCCTTGAAGGAGGACTTCTCTTTTCCCCCATCACTTATTCTCCCTCCCCAGGATTGTGAAACACATTGACTCTAGGAAAGTCAGTAAAGCAAGGAGGAAATGCCATGTTGTTAAAGGAGAATAGCTCCAATGGCATTTCCAAGTTAGAAAGAGACTCTTAGTTAATCTGCTTTGGAGATCACAATTTCTCTCAGCCCCTTCGCTGGCTCTTATAAAATCCATATGCACTTCATAGGAAACTCATTCCATATGTTTTGCTTCATTTGCACATGATACATTAAGATGTTGTTTTAAAAGGAGTGTTCCTGGGCCAAAATTATCAAGGTTTTTGTGTGTTTTTCTTGCCTTGCAAGCTAGAAAATTGTGTTTTTTAAGTAGAAATGAGTTTTCTGGACTTCCCAATGATTTTCAGACTGGTGTTGTAGCTGTGAATTTGTGACTTTTAATGTGTTCATTGACATTGATTCAGAGCATTGTTTCCTGAGTGCCTGCTGTGAGTTAGATGTGTATGATTTGGGGAAAATAAATCCATGATTCTTCTCATGGGAAAGACGTATTCAGACGAGATCGGGCACTTTCAGGGTGGTATGGCCATAGATCAAAGATACAGGGCATACTAAGTACTGTTGGAGACAGGAAAAGCTGACAACTTCAGGGGATAGTTTATGTCTAGCTGGGTGGGGAAGCAGATCTGGGAAGTATCTCTGAGAGGCTAGCTTGAATACGTTGTGGACTGGGGATTGAACACGTGGTACATGAATAGCACACCTCAGGTATGAGAGATGCTATAACCAGAGAAGCACAGAGAGAAGGTGTGTGTTCAGGGAATGCAGCTTTTGTTGGATCATGGATGAATTGTGTAAGATGAGGGAGGAAGAAACTAGAGCTAGGTGTGGGCAGGGTGAGGGTACCACTGGAGAGCTTTCATACTTATTCTTTATAGGTATCAGGATAATGCAGAGATTTCATGTAGACCTGCTTCAGGCAACTTAATTGATGGCAGGGTTTGCAACAGCAGGTAGAGGCATGAAAGACCAGAACGGGTCTTGGGAAGGATGAGGGGTGTGATCAAGAGGATGGGGAATTCCAGGCGAGGAACATGAGGCAGCAGAACCCAGTGTCTGATTTGCAGGGATCTCAGAGGAAAGTCAGTAAGAATTCAGTCCTGGGAGAATATTGGTTTTGTTAATAAGGGGGAGGGACTTGTTTGGAGCAGGATTAAGATGAGTTAGGTTATAGCCTGCTGCAGTTTGTCATTGGGGCCTCCAGCAAGAAGAGCTCTATAAACAGTTAGAGACACGCTCTAACCTGAGGGAAATCTAGAGGTAGGGAGCTTTTCCACTTGGCTTTGGTTTACTGCAATACAATATTTGCCTCTTAAAAGCCTAGTGGGGTTGGAGGCTTTTGTGTTTGCATACTTTTAAGATATATGTTAAAAACATAAAAGTGGGGTTGTGGTGCATGCCAGTAGCCCATAGCCACTTAGGAGGTGGAGGCAGGAGGATGTCAAGTTCAAGGCCAGTCAATCTGGACCGTTTGGCATGGCCAACTCAGTGATGGAATATTTATTTTCCTAGCATGTATGAAACCCAAACTGTGTGGGTGTGAGCATGCATGCATGCATGTACACATGCTCACATGCCCAATTCACTATATGTGATAGCTGTGCACAGGGACAGAATTCTTACATATAACACCCCTCGTGTGTACAGGAGAGATGAGCTCATTAGTGGGCACACAGTAAAATGAGGGTCCTTGGGCTTGGACTGAGAGTGTTCAATGCCTAATGCTTTGTTTTTCATTGCTATAAAGAGAGTATCCTTGAA